TGTACAAGGCATTGCAAAATTATAATCACCCTCTCATTGCCAAACTCCATTTACTTTCTGAATATATATCAACAGGAGGCTATTGGTCTAAAAAAAATTCTCCTTGTCTATTTAATAGTTTTCTCAATTTTCTGCAATTACCCTGTCCTATATACCAATGCAAAATGAATCCTTTATATGATACCCCTTATGAAGTGCTGGTATATCAACCTAGTGTTTTACTTGATATTGGAATTGAGAAAAATTCTAGATTGGCTCCATTACAGTTGAAACTAGCTCTTGATAAGTTTTGGAAAGATTGGCATATAATGTACACAGATGCTTCCAAAATGTCTCAGTTGGGGTGTGTTGGAGCTGCAGTATGGTTTCCCAAGTATAAAATAATACTTAATTTTAAATGCCCACCCTATAGCTCAGTTTTTACTGGTGAGGCTACAGCTATATGAGGCTATCCTATTTGCAGAATCTCATGACTTAAATAAAACTATCATTTTCACAGATTCTAAAAGCTGTTTGCAAGCCATTTTAGCTAATCTCTTCCGTTACAAACTTAATTTCCCCTTAATTTACAAGATTAGAGCCGCTCTTTACAGGTGTCATATGAAAGGAATATTGATTTCTCTAGCTTGGATTCCTGGGCACAGTGATATTCAAGGAAATGAAATTGCTGATCATTGTGCCAAGGAAGCAATTAAAACTGGCTCCCTATCCCAATATACTTGTTTCTCTCATGATTTATTATCATATGCTAAAATCAGATCAAACTGTGTTTGGTATGAGCTCTGGAAGAAATCTAGTAGAGAGAGAGGGAAACACTATGCATCAATCCAACCTGATATTCCAACCAAACCATGGTTCTTTAATTTTCCTAAAGCCAATAAGCATGCCACCTCTATTGTCTGCAGACTTAGACTAGGGCATGTCTGCACTAATGTTCATCTTGCCAAATTAAGAATAAAAGATAGTTCCATCTGTGAATGTGGCCTAGATGATGATTCACCTGATCATATATTTTTCAACTGTCCCAGAATTCCAGGTTCCTTCCATGATCATCTTCCTTCTAGCATCCCTCGTCCATCTAATATCAATAACCTTTTAACATATGTTAATTCTTCATTTGTTTATATCTTGTGTAATTTTATTAATAGTTGTAGTATTAAGTTGTGAACTTAGCATAATAATTACAATCTTATTTTCTTTGTTCTAGGTAATTGCTATAATTATGTAAATTTGTTTAGATATTCTCTATATAAAAATATACATATTTAACATTCATAAAATCATTCTCTTCATCATTTCATTATAAAAGTTAGGCAAAAATAAACAACCAGAAGTGTTCATTGGCGTATTCATTGAAAACCGCCAAAAAAGAAAAGAAGAAGAAGAAGAAGAACTGTGAGTTAGAGATGGGTCGTATCGCTTTTTCTGAGTACCGTATCTGAATCAGATTTCGAAACTATGTATTTTAATATCTAGATATTTTACGGTCCCGTATCCACCTTGAATTCTAAAAAAAAAAAAATAAAAACAAATTGTGCAGGCGTATTTAAAAGTTGATTCATTCTATGTACATAATTTTCCTGATATTTAAAACTTAACAATATATATTTACAATTATGTGTGGGTTCATAATTATTAATTATTTAGATTCCTCCGGGTTTCAATTCACGTTTAGGAACGTAACCTGTTTGACTTTATTCCTCGAAAGTCTTGTTCGACGATCATTATACCTATACATAACTAAAGCTATTACCAGTGATACCAACTGTTCAAAAAGAATACTTCTAAATAAATTCGAAAACCCACTACAATTGACTAAATTCAAAAAACTTACTGAATTTAAAATCATGATTTTTTATACTATTCAGGTAAAATTAAAACATTACCTGATTAAATTAAAAAATTTAATTAAAAATAGAAATTGAAGTAATATAAAAATGATTTATTTTAACATCTTATATATCGCTTAATAATTGACATTAACATATTCTTAGAACACGCAATCATGAGTGACAATATTTTCATAATTTGTGTAAGAAATAATACATTCAGTATTATAACTTAGGGCGGAAGAATTTAAAATATACACACAAAGCACATAAACCTTGGTCTGATTTCCACCCAAGCAGCACAGCACTATTAAATTATATTTTTCTTTTTGTGTAGTTTTATTTTTTTCCAAAAATATGAATAAAATTTAACTAATAAAAATATTCACAAAAAATTTACCTCCAAAAAGATTTCCATTTATATTTTTCTTCCTTAATTTAGGCAGAAAATTCTTAAGTAGTAAGTTGGCATCCCTTACTATTACGTGCTAGGTACCAATGCAATCTAGCTCAAGGTTAAACAAAATTTAAAGACATCGTTAATACCGTAATTCGTATTTAAATGCAACTAAAAATGTTTTTTTTCCATGCTGTTAAGATTCAAAATTACTTAACTGCGCGCTTTGTCGCCCGTTACGCCTCAAGGCTAAACAAAACAATAAAAATATACTTAAAAATATCGTTGTAGTAATCGTTGATACCATGATTAGTATTTAATTGAAACGGATCTTATTTGTATGGTTTTAAGATTCAAAATTACTTAACTTATTCATAATATCTGTTTAAAAATCTGATATTGTGCCTTGCTTGCCGTACTGCTCTAACTAGTGTAATATTTGTATCTCACGCGCTTTGTCGCTCAAAATCTGTTTAAAAAATCTGATATCGTGCATTGCTTGCCGTCCCGCTCTAACTAGTGAGTATTTATATCTCACGCGCTTTGTCGCTTGATATCTGATATCGTGCATTGCTTGCCGTTCCGCTCTAACTAGTGAGTATTTATATCTCCCGCGCTTTGTCGCTCGATATCTGATATCGTGCATTGCTTGCCGTCCCGCTCTAACTTGTGAGTATTTATATCTCACGCGCTTTGTCACTCGATATCTGATATCGTGCATTGCTTGCCGTCCCGCTCTAACTAGTGAGTATTTATATCTCACGCGCTTTGTCGCTCGATATCTGATATCGTGCATTGCTTGCCGTCCCGCTCTAACTAGTGAGTATTTGTATCTCACGCGCTTTGTCTCTCGAAATCTGTTTAAAAATCAGATATTGTGGCAAACGCGTATGATATCGCGATTCGTGTCGGTATAGCGAGCGAGCACGTTACATCAGATTTCGGAAATATCAGATATTGCAAAATACAATATTGAACGAGCCAGTAAGCGATATTCGGATATTGTACTAATATCTAGTTTTCATATCTGATACGATTTGTATCGCCCACTTCTACTGTGAGTATTTATGTTTATTATTTTTAATCTAAAAATGTCAATCATGTCCTAATCAAACTAACAAAGCTCCTATAAACATAACACAAACAACTGTTCAAAAGATCTATATATCCAAAATATGTATTATAAACTCAATATAATTATGTTTTTTTATTTCAGATTACTGAGGATGATTACATTTGTAAATCTTGTAATGAACTCTTTATGAGAAGAATAAACCAGGAATTAACAAGCTGTGATGTTGCTCAAGCTTCAGGATTATCTCAACCAGGTCGAAGAACACAGTTTTTGATAATCCTTCAGAAAAGCAAAGACAGATAAATGCTATTATACAAACAAGTTCACAACATCACATATTCATGTTTCTACATTGTTAATCATTTGCCAGTATGAAACTTGATACTTTTAGTCTAGATTATTTCTCTTTTGTATTTTAGATGTAAATTATTATATCTGTTATTAATTGACTGATGCTGTAATAATTTTAACCACAAATAAATAAATATTGGATTTAAAAAAAAATATATTTTTAAGATGAATAATAATTATTGCTTTATTACTTCTTTTGTAGATAGTTTTCTTTTGTAGATATCATCATCTGATAGAATATGGCATTCATGCTGGTTGAGTTGTAAGAGTGCTGCCACACATATTAGGCATGTTGCTGAAGTTTGTGGTGTTTCTACTACGGAAGATAATTTATTTTTTATGTTTCTGAGATTAAGTTATTAGTGAACTTATACTATTTGCATTAGGTACCAAATAAGGCAAGCCAAATCCTATTATGGCGAACATATTCGCTTTCATGGATCATATAGAATATAAATATGTAGGGACACAGGAGTTTTCTAGGAATAGTCTGAGAGGAAGTGGTGACATAACACTTATAAGAGGAAAAATTAAGTCCTGGCACATTTAAAGAAAACAATATTATGTCTACATTTTAATAGAAAATAATGTGTCTGGTAGAGCTAGTATAGTCGAATACTGTTGTAATTGTTTAGTTGGTTGGCGAACCATAGGATGTGGCACTCATGTTATGACTAGTGTGGTACTTCGGATGAACTATCAAGAAAATATCTCTGTTATAGCAGAATTTCTGGATAACATAGTTAAAAGACATTTAAGTGAAGATGATGATAATTAATAAAGCATTCCACTGTAACATAGTGTTTTATTTTTTCCCCCGTTTAATTCATCAGGTATTATAATTATCGATTATTATGTATTGTAGTGCAGGCCAATGAAATGTGTAGGGCAGATAAATGATCACTTTTAACTTACGTTTTTTTAGTAAATACTTATGTGAGCTGTTGAAACAGCAGATAATGCTCTTCACTCAATTTATAGTGACAATAATCGAGTCTAAGCAGTGACGTAAGGGCAGTCGGTTTCTAGGAATTACAAGTAAAAAAGACGTTTTAGACTTTAGATAGGCTAATATTATTATTTTAGAATAAACTTGAGCGTAAATAGTTAGTTCTAGCACATTTATTTCGTTATATTAGGTAACTGCAAATCCTAACCTAAAAAGTAACATATTTTAATAATTTTTGGACTTCGTAGACCAGCAATCGTAAAAATGACTATATGATATTAATTTACTAACTTAAAGGTAGTCTTTCTGCTATACTTTGTAACTATACATACACTTTCATTATCAGGTTTTTAAATGTATGGGAAGTGGGCATTGTTCTTTATAAAAAACATTTTCTAGGCGGCAGCAGCATATTGGGGGGAAAAGTGCAGGCGATTGCTTGCGAGTCCAGCGGCAGAACCTTCTGGGCGGCCAATGACAAGGTTGGCTATTAGAATAGCGTCATTCAGTTATTTCGCATCACTTGTATGGACAACGGTACCGCGTGAATGTGTTCTTAACCGTTGTGTTATTATATTTGTAAGATCGGTAAAAAGTAGGAGTATTATGTTGCGGATCTCCATAGGCGGCGGTAATCGCCTAAGCCCTAATTAGGTGAACCTGTGGCTAGTTTTTAAAAAAAATTATATCTTTTTGTGAATATTTCAAATTGTGAGGGTATGTCACAATATGAAATATTGACAATATTGCATTTAATAAAAATCTAATGTTTAGTATATCTACAATTAAGCGCATAAAAGCACCTTTCGATCTCGTGCGAAGTTTGCATTTGAAAAGTATTTTACGAGTAGGTACGGCAATAAAAATATTTATAATTTACTCTTGGGGTGCTAACTTAGGAACTTATATCGCTTCTCGGCGTTTTGGCTAAGATCAAAGTGTAAAACTTACGAACTTATGTATCAATTTTATATGTAAAATTCGACGTTTCATAATAAGGTCGAAAGTGTCTATTTGAATTTAAATTTATCTTTAACTAGCTGCTTCCCGCGACTACGTCTGCGCAGAATACGCTGAAGGCGTAACATTCAGACAGATATCTATAAAAATATTTATATAAATAATAGCCAATGTGTTATTTTGATTAATTAAAATCCATTCAGTAGTATTCGCGTGTAAGAGTAACAAACATCCATCCATACATAAAAACTTTCGCGTTTATAATATTAGTAAGGATCGGGCGTGTTCTGTTCGGGTAAGGGCGTGATAGTGAGCTACCGTACGTCCGGTACCGGTGCCCTGAGCAAGATGCGGCGATGCTGCGTGGGTGGCGCCGTCACCAGCCTCAGTTGGAGCCCATGGCTGGCGCGCCACCCGGCGTTGCTCGTCAGCGCCACCGATAACACCCTGTATCTGTTCAGGTGACAACTCTATCCGATATCCTCTGACGGTAATAATATCCTATCTACACATAGAATTGATTACTAGCGACAGGTATTTAATGCTCACGTCAAAGTTCTATCTCCAGTAACCAAATATATCTGTAGGTGGAATATCAAAACCGCAAATTGTATACCCGTTGTACAGCTATGCAACGGCTGTTGTTGCACAGCGTTTCGTGTTGGTGAAATACCGGTGCCGTATTTTTTCAAGTTGTCAACGCATCCGCAGGCCTGCAGGCGTTGTAAATGTCCGTGATTGTTTGACAATTTTTCACATAAAAAACCCCTGTATGTTTTGAGAGATCAACAGCAACAGACGACCCGATCCCTGTGTAGATTTATTATCGTTCTTGTTCGTGCATAACTTATTCTCCGTCCCAATATTACAGCTCAATATAACCTTGAAAAATACAAGATAAAGTATCATGTTCTTTTATTGTTTGTGCGAAAATTACACATGTTACAGCTTTCGATTTTGTTTTCATCTCTCGACAAGAACGTGAGGAAGATCATATTATATCCCAGATAATCCGTGAATTTCCTTAACTTAACAATTTAGCTGTTCCATGAATAAGCAGGTCCGTCCGGGGAAGTACCACGACCTCACAGAGGACCAACGTGAATTGATGAAACGTTTTTTCTGGTGTTTATAACCGGGGCGCAATTTATTAAAAGGTGGCAACGCATTTGCAACCTTACGGGTGTGCAAATATCCGGGTGATCCGCCAGTACAATTGCCACCTTCCCGACTCGTCCCAGGATCACCGATCGCGAGGGCAGCCTCGCCCTGAAGAAGCGCTTCGAGACGGCGCACAGCCGCCACAGCGTCAAGTCCACCTTCTGCCCCATCATGTCGTTCCGGCGCGGCGTGTGCGTGGTCAGCGGCGGCGAGGACGCCTGCGTCTACTTCCTCGACATAGAGGGCCACGCCGACCGGCCGGTGCTCAACAAGCTGCAGGGTCAGTGACTTCTCCACCACAGTGCCACCACGGTACCACCTCAGTTCCACTACGGTTCCACCACAGTCCCACTGCAGTTCCATCACGGTTCCAGCACGGTTCCACCACAGCAGTTCACAGGGATAAAAATATGAGAACCGAGGACACTCCTCCACCACAGGTCCAAGGTCCACACGGAAAAAAATGAGGAACATGATACCTACGGAGTTTCCTTCGCTAGTGTAATATGTACCTCGGATTTGTATATATTGTTGTATATCATTGTTATTTCCTTGCAGGACACGCATCCGCCGTTCTCGGCGTGAGCTTCAGTTACGACGAAAGCCTACTGGCCACCAGCGACGTCTCTGGTCTGGTCATCATCTGGCGACGCGGCTGATCTGATCGCCCAGGAATCATTGACTATTGGCTTGTCCCTCGTCTTTATTCACTCCTCGCCGACTATCTCATGTTTAGAGGTTTTGGTAGGGATGTAGAAAAAATGTCGATGTATCGATATATCGATATTTTCATCTCATACTTATTTCAATATCGAAATCGTATATAAAACGTATAAAAAATATAAAGAATCGTATAAAAAACGATATTTTTTCAAATTCGAATCCGTCACAGAGTCAGTAGGTGTTAAACATTTAATATTTGACATACCTTTTTATTGGGACGACAGGGTTTCTAGGACCTAAAGAGAAAATATCGTTATTTATATATTATCTTCGATATATCGAGGCCGATATTGATATTTTTATAAATATCAATATATATTTCTTCACTTTCGACATCCCTAGGTATTGGTATCACATAAAACCTCATTGACCGTTGGATTGTCGTCTTTACTCACTCCTCGACGACTATTTTATGTTCAGAGGAATTGGTATCACATAAAACTAGTGATTTGTGGAAAATAAAATATATCTTTTATAACACAGATTTCATAAATGATCTCTATAGTGCTTTATGGCGTTAATGCCATCTGCCCTGTTTCTTGTATTAATCAACTGCATTCCATGATTTGAAATATATATATTTTCTATTCTAATAATATTAGTTTGTTTTATTATATATCATGCTGAATTCGTATATTCTATGAAAGTGTAGTGTAGTAGGTAAGTTGGTGATTACGGCGATTTTTCCCCCCGCACTTCTCTCTCTTTGGCACGATGACGAGATTTTCAAAAAACGCGTATTTTTAATTTAAATATGTTAATCTGCCCGTGAATGCGATTACTGCAATGCATGCAATCCATCAAATTGCATACATGCATTCTAATCATTAAGATCATTCTGATCAATTCAGAGTTAAACAATCCTTCTGGCAACTCGAATAACATTTGAAAAGCCATTTGACAGCTGATTATTTAACTTCCACGACGATTAGTGTTTCAGAAATCGGGCGTTAGTGTTATAATAAACCCGTAACGAGTATTTATAGGAAGTATTGAAAGTTGGTTGAAAGTTTGTAAATGCCAACTATTTCGTCACTGAAATGTAACGCATTTCATACTAGTAATCTATTGCTTCTCGGCCTACAAATACAAAATTTTGTTGTTTTTACGTGTTTGTCGATAAGAATTATGGAGCTTAACGTCGTATTATTCTTGGTGGTGCTATAATAGTCTAACACTGGTTGTAAAGATTCTAAGCTCACGATCACAAAAAATAGTCAAAATCACTGTTTTCACATTTCTGCAGTATTATTATTATTAAACGGTTTTATTTAGCTCGACCCGTACGGAATTTGTTTGTTTGGGTCAAAATTAGAAATTGAAATTTAAGCACCTTGCCGTTGTCAGATTGATCTGAAATTTGGTACACAGATTTAATTTAGATGACACTACAATATTAACAAAAAAAAAAACATAAAATAAAACCGTTTAACTTAAAAGTTTTTAAACGGTTTTATCATAGATAATTAACTATCACTTTTATTATAGATAATAAACTATCACAGTTTGGTCAAAGGGGTATTCAATAAAAAGTTCATTGAGTCACAAATTTTATTAATTATTCATTGTTTTTTTTTTTTATCCTCATATAAATACTTTTTAAAAGACTCGACAAAGTCACAATATGAAAAGACCTCCGATGCGTTCACGTTCACTAAACACTAATTCGACAGCTCAATACAAATCAACAACTTACAAACAATAAATACCATAATAATTGGACAATTCATTCAAATAATTCCTCGTTCACTTATGCCGCTGTGACGGAAACTAATCGATTGCAAATTATGTAATACTATAAAATCTAAGACATTCCATAGACTGTTGTTTTGTTATTGGTCGTATATCCTAAATGGAGACAACTAAATAGAACGACGAGTAAAACCCTACATTGTAACCGTAACAAAATGAACATCTATCGCGTATTTACACCTGTACATCAACGAAATATTCCCTAAAACTGTAAAAAAAAAAATATAATAATCATGTAAAGAACAATAAACGTGTAGTACGATCGATAAATTTTCATAATCAAACAAAAAAAATTTCACTCCTCCAGATAACTATTAAATTATATTTACAGCAGTAACTAAAGAACTAAAACACAATGATATGGAAATGAGAAGAATTGCACACGAGGTTAACACTTGGACGTATCGCGCGTTACACTGATGACGTACTTGGGTGGCACTCGCTAGGCGGTACACTCGGCAAGGACAAATGTTCAACAAATATAAACATATCAAATTGATCGCAACTGTGCTGTACGACACGAATAAATATGATTTGTATATTAGTTTCTCATACGCACAAATATGTTTAAAACAGTTTTATTATTGAACCATTATCACACATTTCTATTTCAGTATCAAATTTGGCTAACGTTTACGAGAAAAAGAAATCTAAAGTTATAATTAGACATTACCAAAGTACAATTGAATGTAGGTATTGCCAAGTGCCCATTGAATGCGTTACGTCGCCCTATCACCACATAAACCCACATTACCTCTACACTACACTTATCTAATATATATATATTTTTTTACTTAACTATGAATTGGCTTTTATTTCAAATATAACATTGGGCTGCAGTCAGAAACTCTATAACCGCAATGTTTATAGCGGGTTTTAAGTTTGAAATAGTTGTCGCTTATAGTAAATTTAAAAATTTTAACTACGCGAGATTCGTAAAAGCTTTTTGTAAAGATATTTTAATAAGAGATTGTTACTGCAGCCCAAACGTCTATATCGAATCAAGATACGTTCCGAGAATCTTAAAGTTTGAAAGATGCTTATTCATTGTGCGTAGGTATGGGGTCACAAGAAACGTTGCACATATCATTAACTTGATATATGGACAGATATCTAATAAGAAATGTAACTAATTGTCTATTGAAACTTATATGATGGATACTGCATATTTGTTTACCACCAGGAGATAGTTTAGAGCAATTAGTCACAATATCTCAAAATATTAATAAGTAGAAATGGTAAGTTCAATTCAATGCACTAAGTTAGAAATGAACAGTTAAGTATATTACATATGAAAATCTAACAAGTAACAAGGAGCGATTACGAAACGCTTAGCTCTATTCAATTCTTTGTATCCATTCCATTGATTGCACAGTATCATTATTTTAAGTTTCTATAATGAAGTTTCATAACCAATTCAGTATATTATCTACAGTATCTGTATGTGGGTACGCCATTAGGATGAGACAGAAATTAAGTTAGGCTCGGGGATTTATAATATCTAAGCACTTATTTTGTATAAAGTCAGTATAAAGCGCTAACAAACTACATTTATATCATAATTCATGGCTATTTGTACCTCAGTTCTGTAGTACCATCAAATAAATCATTGGCGAGATTCAGATTCCCACTATCCTATTTATTACCACTCAATACAATGTTACCTGTTACTGACGGACAAGAATCAGACTTCGATATGTATTCATATGTGTAACATACAAAAGATGTTGCCGTATAAAGTATAAAGGGCAATGTTGGTAAACTTAGGTTAACAGCATGCATAAACCTTTCCTAATACAATAGAGAAAGACATTTGCATTGTGACAAGGAATATATGCATAAATTGCTTTTTTCATACAGCCACCAAATTTCTGATTCTGTTTTCAATTCAACATCTCTTACACATGCTTTGCTGTTAAATGTCCATCGTGTGTTCATTTGCATTGTGAAGTTGCATGCGTATTTTACAAGGCATACACATTCCATCACTTTTTCCTCCATTCCTTGCACTTGTACATTATAAAGCTTCTAATCAAGGAAGGGAATTATATACATAGTTGATCTAGTTAGTTCTAATTAGGAGATGTTTGGGGTGGTTTTGTTCCTCTCAAGGGTGGCCTTCGAACTACTCTCAATGCCAGAGTCCTCGTCGCCGCTGTCCAGGACAGTTCCCTCTCCTTTCACAGCCTCAACCTTTTGGCTCGAGCCCTCCTCTTTCGTCTCGGGCTCTTGAACGTCGTCCGTCAGTATCATCGCCTTCTGTTCGGGTTCCGAGCTCTTGGCGGAGCACTTGCCGAACGTCGAGAACGTCGGCTCGGGGACGACGTCATCGGACTCCCTCGTTAACGGCAGCGCGGTGGTGATGATCGGCGTCTCGTCGGTCATCACCAGCGGCGTGGCGCCCGACTCCGTCCGCTCCTCCTGGCCGCGCCTCTTCGGCTTGTCCAGTACAAAGTTGAACACCCTGTTGTGGCGCGGGGAGGGTATATGCGGGCTGGGCGGCAGGTCCAGCTTGAGCTTGTCGCGCGTGTGCCTGAGGCCGCCTAGGGCTTCGCCCCCCGGCGAGCTGGGGCTCACGGACTCGCTGGAGCTGGCGCTGTCGACGGGCCGCCAGCAGGCGTCGCCGTCCGTCGCCTTCTTCGCCTTGAAGTCGTCTTCGGTGCTGGTCGAGCCGGGGGTGATGTCCTCGACGCCCGAGTCCGGCGTGGTAAGGTCCAGGGAGGGCGTCCTGGTCTGCGCCAACGCGGCCGGCGGCGAGGGCGACGGCGGCGGCGGAAAGTCCTCCAGCTCTTCGATGTCCCTCTCCAGCAGGGAGGGCTTGACGTGCATCCCGGGGAAGAACTGGCTGGTGGTGGACATCACGCCTAAACTCTCGAACGGGCGAGCCGACGACGATATGAAGAAATCCTCGTCGTAATCTGCGACGCAAATAAGTGCACTGTGTTTCACTTATAAAATTATATTGGTTGCAAGTTTAAAACAAACAAGTATAGCAGTCGACTAGTTCCGAGGCGTAGTTGATAGGGAACCCGTCTTACAAATGAGAGTTTGTGGGTCGATTCTCACTGTTGGAAAAATATTGTGTGATGCATAGTGTTTTCCTAGTGTCTGGTTGTTTATATATCTGTATTATGTATTTATTTAAAAAAGAAAAGTATGTTTAAGTATATATATCCGTAATCTTAGTACCCATAGCAGCTACATTGTGTAAAAAAAGTTCGAAATATTGATAATATAAAAATATTGATACCAGTGTGAATGAGTCGGTTTAGTTTATACATACTTGTAGACGTGGCGTGCTGTTGAACTGCGTCCCGATTACAATGTGACTTGGAAGCGAGATGGAATGGGTTTAGCTGACGCGTTTACCAATTGTACCTCCTTACCGTCTGGGGGGTTGGTAGTCGCGTGCATTGGGCAGTGCGTTATGAGATAAAAGAAATCATGTGTAAACCTGGCATAGTTTGTTTGTTTGCAAGAGTGCTGCGGGCCGTACCTGCAGCGAAGGCGATACCAGCACGCAGCGGGAACATTTCGAGGGGGCTCGGCGCGCCGAACAGCTGCCCGTAGCCCAGTTCCGCGTCCTCCGCACTCGTAGGGTCCCACTCTGCAACCGAAGTTACCGTTTCGATACTACGAGTATACTCGTATTATCTTATACGGATTGGGCTGCTTGTCTAACCTTCTTGCGAAGGCTATATACACGGAAGAGCCACGCTGAAGCATCTATTTTTGCACCATTGTGTTCTTTCTACGGGTTCTATGGGGACGCTAGACCAGAGCTGCTCCTTAGTACCGGCCGTCTCTGTCTAAACGTGTGCGAGGAAGTGGGACGTGGGAGCGGCTCCTCTCTCTTACCGGAGTATGTGGAGTAGTCGGACACGAAGAGTTCGATTTATATGACGATATCCGCCGTCCCTGTCTAGACGGTCGTGACGGAAGCGGACGCTAGACCAGAGCTGCCACTTAGATATTAACACTGGTCGTCTCTGTCCAAACGGTCGCGAGGAAGTGGGACGTGAGAGCGGCTCCTCCCGCTTACCGGAGTTTGAGGAGTAGTCGGACACGAAGAGGTGGATTTATATGACGATACCCGCCGTCCCTGTCTAGACGGTTGTGACGGAAGGGGACGCTAGACCAGAGCTGCCACTTAGATATTAACACCGGCCGTCTCTGTCTAAACGTGCGCGAGGGAGTGGGACGTGAGAGCGGCTCCCCTTACCAGAGTATGTGGAGTAGTCGGGCACGAAGAGTGCGATATATATGACGATACCTGCCGTCCCTGTCTAGACGGTTGTGACGGAAGGGGACGCTAGACCAGAGCTGCCACTTAGATATTAACACCGGCCGTCTCTGTCTAAACGTGCGCGAGGGAGTGGGACGTGAGAGCGGCTCCCCTTACCAGAGTATGTGGAGTAGTCGGGCACGAAGAGTTCGATATATATGACGATACCTGCCGTCCCTGTCTAGACGGTTGTGACGGAAGGGGACGCTAGACCAGAGCTGCCACTTAGATATTAACACCGGCCGTCTCTGTCTAAACGTGCGCGAGGGAGTGGGACGTGAGAGCGGCTCCCCTTACCAGAGTATGTGGAGTAGTCGGGCACGAAGAGTTCGATATATATGACGATACCTGCCGTCCCTGTCTAGACGGTTGTGACGAAAGGGGACGCTAGACCAGAGCTGCCACTTAGATATTAACACCGGCTGTCTCTGTCTAAACGTGCGCGAGGGAGTGGGACGTGAGAGCGGCTCCCCTTACCAGAGTATGTGGAGTAGTCGGGCACGAAGAGTTCGATATATATGACGATACCTGCCGTCCCTGTCTAGACGGTTGTGACGGAAGGGGACGCTAGACCAGAGCTGCCACTTAGATATTAACACCGGCCGTCTCTGTCTAAACGTGCGCGAGGGAGTGGGACGTGAGAGCGGCTCCCCTTACCAGAGTATGTGGAGTAGTCGGGCACGAAGAGTTCGATATATATGACGATACCTGCCGTCCCTGTCTAGACGGTTGTGACGGAAGGGGACGCTAGACCAGAGCTGCCACTTAGATATTAACACCGGCCGTCTCTGTCTAAACGTGCGCGAGGGAGTGGGACGTGAGAGCGGCTCCCCTTACCAGAGTATGTGGAGTAGTCGGGCACGAAGAGTTCGATATATATGACGATACCTGCCGTCCCTGTCTAGACGGTTGTGACGAAAGGGGACGCTAGACCAGAGCTGCCACTTAGATATTAACACCGGCTGTCTCTGTCTAAACGTGCGCGAGGGAGTGGGACGTGAGAGCGGCTCCCCTTACCAGAGTATGTGGAGTAGTCGGGCACGAAGAGTTCGATATATATGACGATACCTGCCGTCCCTGTCTAGACGGTTGTGACGGAAGGGGACGCTAGACCAGAGCTGCCACTTAGATATTAACAGCGGCCGTCTCTGTCTAAACGTGCGCGAAGAAGTGGGACGTGAGAGCGGCTGCTCTTACCAGAGTATGTGGAGTAGTCGGGCAGGTAGGCCGGCGACTCGGCGTCCGCGTCGGCCGCCTCGCGCGGGTACTCGTACACGCAGTGGTACTTCTGCCGCTTGAACACGACGCGCTTCTTGCTGTCCTGAGGCGGGACGAGACGCGAGTTGCAACATTAAAGCCCGTATGAGGGGTAGCCTAGCTTTCCTTTTGGGCAAAGCGCCCTGTGTTGCGACTATTATAAGCTATAATTTAGAAATATTGCCGTTTTTAATATTAATATCTAATATGAAGGTCTTCTAGCAATTTTTCCTTCTTCCCGTATATTTTATCAAAGTTTTCTCGCAACGTTCTTCCTCGCCCCGAGCGCCTGCTAAATCATCACTTATTTTTCTTTGTTTTTTCTCTTTTAATGCAATACTGGCTACTTGACTGCCATCCCACCTGATGGACATCAGTTATCATCATTGAGACAGTTCCACTTTGTAAATTTTCCTAAGTTGAACTGACCGAGACAAGCAAGTTGTGTTTACCTTTAAGTGTTACACTACACTCGTTAAAAACAATTGTTTTCAATGTTTCCTTTGTGGAGGTCGAAAGTATACCAACCGGCGGCGCTTGCTCGAGGCTGCGCAGCGAGGACTTGGCCGGCGCCGCGCGGCAGTCCCACGACGAGGGCACGAACTCCACCTCGTCACTCTCGGAGCCCTCCGAGCCGGAGGACGCGTTCCCGCCGGAGCCGGACAGCTCGCCGCCCCCCCGCTGCGTTTGGGAGGGGCCCTCGCGTTGCTGCGTGCACGAAACCAACCCCGCTTAGCGACATCTAGCGGATGGTCCGCGATAACAGTGGCGTTACAGTACGAGCAAAACTTAAGCCCGAGGGAAATTGCCCGTACAAGTTCTGCTGTAGAGTGCGCGAATTAGTATCTAAAACTATAGTTTTTTTTTAAGTGAAACTTCTAATGCGACTTCCAACAAGGTTGCTACCATGGAGGGGGTGTGAAAACACCGGTGCGTTAAACGTCCAACGCTCCTGGGGAGGGGGAATAGAAAGAGACAGAGCGAGAGTGAATGCGTGGCACTCGAAGTTTTGAAGCGGAGGGGCTCCACGCACTTTCTATATGAGAAGGTGGCCAGCGAGCTGGCGGTTCACCTGATGTAAAGTGATAAACGCCGCCTATTTACATTTGCAACACCCGTTGGGTTGCATATGCGTTGCTATTTTTAATAATGAGGGCGATAGGCATTCACCAGACGAAGCAGTTGCGTGGCTGTAGAATGTTCACGAAATATAACAACACCGTCCGCGTCGTTATAACAAATTGCGGCGGGAGCGAGACAGAGAATGTTGAGAACTGCGACGCGAAAGAGAGAAGGCAATATAATCCTTCGTAAAAATTGGACAAACTTAATAGTTGCTTAAGTTTTGCACGCACTATAGTCGATGATGTTTTGATTTTTGTGTTGAGTCGATTAATTTATTTGTAAGGCGGTGTTGTCTTTAAATCATGTTAGTGCGAAAGCGCGCTGTTAGATGGTAGGCGGTGCTAAATGTATCATGAACATGTCCCCCCAAGCATCACAAAGGCATCCCTTCGCACCGAATGTTTTTAATAAACAATCATACTATGATATGTCCTATAGGCGATTTAATTACACAATTTTCGTAAGACATTTACATATGATAACTTAAACATGACAAACACCCGGATCCTAAAAAAAATAGCCAATAATCAACACTAGCGGCACCAAGCCTTTTAAAATGGAATTCGATACTGTATGTAATGTTATCACAATTTATTAGGTATTATTTTTGAATTTATCATTGTTATTCAGATCAGCACATAATGTCAACCGTCAGCAATTTTTGCCAACGTGGAAAATCTGTTGTTTGAAAAAAAAAAACTACCACCACGAATTAACTTGTAAGCTTAAAATAAATGAAACTTAAATGAAAGCGTAGAGCAAAATCAACGTGAGCTTATACTAAATGGAGGCGAAGCGAAAATAGAAACTCAAACAGATAAAATTGTTCTTCATAGAACGATGTTTCACGACTTTTAAGACTATTAAAAAAAATCAGATTTATTTAAGGGCCTGGAAAGGAAAGGGAGTGTCAGAATAGCTAGCTATCTTTTGTTTTAAATAGAATTTTTTTTTAGCAATTTTTCCGAAGAAATGGCATGCTCGTGAAGGGTAACTGGATCTATAAACTTAGTTTAGGTCTATTATGCCAAAGAAAATAAATCTAGATGGATTTGAATAATGAAATGAAATCATCAAAAGTTGAATTGCGAAAGAGCCGATAATTTAATTCGATATACTCCAGCAACGTGAATTCATTCCGACTTGTTCCGTTGAAACACACAGCCGGTTCGGCCGAATTTTGAATCCGTAGTGACCTAACAGCAAAAGAAAATCTACAATTAAAGTTTTTTTTTTTTTTGCGGAGGTAAATTCAAACCAAAACTTCCTAAATGTTTCTGATTAAGAGGTTTTGGTTAAAATATAGCGTATTTCAGTGAGCTTTCGCAGTGTGTTTTTTTAACAGTTGGTAACACTGCCTAACAGTTGTGAGACATCGTTCCAGAGCGGGCAGCGGACGCGACTGTACCCTGCGACTGTATGCTGCATACTCACGTGCTCGAAGCGCGTCGACGGCACGACGGAGGCGACCCGGCCGTCGCCGCCCTACGCGCCACACACACACGCGTTTACATACACATGCAAGCACACCGACACCGACAAATCTTGTTGCACATGTACAGTTAGCGACATCTATTGGCTCGAATCGGACGCTATCTTTCGCTTTTCGAATATCAACATTGGGGTAAATCTATTTACGCTTTCGCGAGAAACTGATATCTTTGATTCAAATTCCAAGTCTGCTGAAGCTCAAAGGAAATTAACTTTTAAATAAATCACAAATGTACCGATAACACGGATAAGAAAGAAAGTTAACAGAATAGTAGTAACAAATCACATCCTTTGATGTTCAGTTGTAGATCGTAGTAGCTATGGCGCTATTTGTGATTCAAATGGTTATTTCTACAATTATAAATATAATGAGAAATCAAAAATGATATTGACTCTTGAAGCATCTAAACAAGTATTTCCTTATGCCTATTTAAATAGACACGCGATATTTTATAATTCTTAAGTTTTTCTCAGCAGAATGAAATAGGGTATCGGTAAGTGCATATATGTACCATCAGCACACGATACGAATCAAGCACAGGATAATTCATAACAAAAAAGGATTAACAGATTGATGTGAATACTAGAATAGTTAGAGAACAGTGAAGTATAAAAAAGAAAAGTTGTAGTTAAGTTAAGAACTATAATAAAATTGTTCAAAAAGCGAAAGATATTCACTACAAAATTTCATTGACGTTAACCATACATGTGTAGACATGGAAGACAACTATTAATACTGGGGGCTATCTACTTAAGTTTGTAAAGTTAACAGCGGGGTTTATATTTCATGAGTACACAAAGTTTATAAAGCTCCATCACTCCACTCAAAGATGCATAGGGCTCAAGGTGCACAAAAGATTTTGGATTGAGTTATCAAAAGGGATAAAAGGTTTTTCTGGTGATTTAATTATTAAATAGGACGTGCGACGATAGTCACACCATTATAATAATCACAATGTAAAAAATTGGGTTTACCAGGCACCACAATTACCAATTTAGTATGGTCTAGTTTTATTAGAGGCAATTTTCAGGGTAGTTCTGTTCGAACAGATTTTGTAGATGTTGTCTTAAGAAACTAATCAATTTCAATTTAGACTATCGAATGGCTATTGAATGGCATATGGCCTCGTCATACTTATTCGTACTAAATTGATAATTCGTATATTATTCAGTGTGAGAGAAAATAGATTGTTTCGGGGCAAATTGCACAGCTTGGGGTATTTACAAAATCACAGACTAAAAGCATCGCCTCTAATTTGAGGCGGGGGAATAAAAAAAACACCAAAGCAATTTTTCCCAAACCAGGTAATGTTTTGTAATATTTTTTTTATGCAAGGAATTGTGTGCGAAGGTTCTGTACGAGTGCTTACCTTCCATATGAACTCCCCACTGGAAGAGTTTGTAGAGTGAGAGTCACTATCGCTGTCCCACTCTTTCAGTAAGTCCGCTGCCGTGTCCGGTTTGCTGTCCTGCTCGCACTCGGGCGAGATCGGCTCCGTAGGTGTGTCTTGGTTGAAAGACGTACTCATAATTTCTGTTCCTGGACCTAACACATTTTCGTTTACTTTTCGTGTGTTTATTGAACTAATAAGTATTTGATTGAATAATCTTCCTATAACTTTTACACAAAATATTAATAAGAGATATAATTTAACGAACTGTTCAGATTGTGTTTTACCATATGGCAAAAATCTAATCACTCCCAATACAAAAATCATAAAGCTTTGAGACAATGTTCAAAAATTCGTAGAGGTCTCGGCAAAGTCATAACAAACAAATCTATTATAATCCTGGATATGATAGGGCAAAATTAAATAAGCAGGTTATATTATTCATCATAAAAACTCACCAGTGAATCTAATATCACTCAGCAGAGGAAAATACGAGTCTAACTCACAGAACTTCTTCTCGTTCTGTAAAAAATCCTCCGTTACCGACGTCAACTTTTCGTCCTCCGCTTCCGTAACACCGTTCGTTACAGCATCGACGTGCCTCAAGTTCTCGTAAATGTTTTCTACCTCATGTTCTTCAGATGACTCGGACACTTTCTCTTTCGCGATACTGCCATCTCTTTCGTTGCTATCGTTACTTTTCTGTTCTTTGCTAACCAAATCAGCGTCGAAGTCTCTGCTATCGTTATCGTCAACGTTACTCTCTAATAGCTCTTCGAACGATTCATTGAGAAAGCTAACTGTCGCGTACTTCTCACTATCTCCGTTGCACTTTATATCGTTAATGTCTCTTGCGACTTTTACCTCTGGCGTATGAGATTCAATTTTTGGTTGATCATTATGAGAATAACAGACTTTCGTATCGTTAACACTGATTTCGTCACTAGTATCGTTTGGTTTCTGCGACTGTAGCCGTTCTGTTACCATTTCGTTAACGACACCATTTACTTTAGATGTCTCCGCTTCTTCTATATTCTGTTCGTCTGCCGTTCTACTCTGTTCTTTGTTTAAAATTTGAAACATTCCCGCATGCGAGTCGTATGTCGTGTTTTCTGCGTGAGAGTCGAACGTTTTGTTTGCAACTGGACTCGCTTTATTCATTAACATTGGGCTTTCGGTGATTATTATTGAATGCGGCTGCTCGGTTTCCTCTTCCATATCTAGGTCAGTTGTAAATATATCTATAGGCCTATTAATATCCGTAACATGAGATTCGTTTATAAAAACTGTTTTAGGCGGACTTATTATCAATGATTGAGTATCAAGATTGTTCACAGAGTTTCCTGAACGGTTTGTTTGGTCCGGTATGCTCGTGGACTCCAAAGCTAGTTCGCTCGATTGCCTCTCGCTCTTCAGTAGTAAGGAACTGGCGTCGATGAGAGACGACAAGTCCTGGGGGCGGTTCCGGGCAGAGTTTTCGAAGTTCTGGAAGTCCTGCGAGTTGGCGACCGCCTCGAGGCTCCCGGATTTGTCCCTCGAATGCATCTCCTGGGGCTTCATGGACGCAGAGTTCTCGAAGTCCGAGTAAGTGGGAGTCCGGTCGCAGACGGCGAGGCTATCCTTGCTGTTCCTGCTTAGGCTCTTGCTCTCGCCATCAAGCAATATCTCAGAGTCCTGGTTGGAATTAGCCCCGTCGTTGCTCGCGCCCGTCGACAAGTCTTGCGGTCGGATCTCGGCCGACTGGAGGAACGTTTGAAAGTTCGGCAAGTTACTCGACAGATATTCGCCGCTGTCCGTTGTTATCTGCGGCAGTTGGATCGGTATCGCTTCGGCGTTGTCCTCCCCCACTGGCTCCGTTAACGGAGTGCTCGTCACGGAATGCGCCATGTTCCTGTAGTGGTAGTCCTGGCTGTCGTTTATCTCGACCAGAATCCCCTGGCTCTCTGTTTCGGACCTATTCTCGCTGTCGGAATTGTCTTTCAGGCAGGTGACTTCCACGCTGTCCATTCTGTGAACGCTCGGCTCCACCGTCTTCGGGCTGCTGGTTTCGGTGCAGTCCTTTTCCGTCGGCTGCTTCGGAGGCGTGAAGTTGAAATCGTCGCCCAGGGGCGATCTCCTCACTAGCTCGGGCTGTTGCATTTTCCAAGCTTCGTCGGCGGTAGAAAGGAGATCCGTTGTGCAGTTCGAGTAGGAGGGCAGCCCCGACATGAGCGTGCCGTAGGCGAGGTCTCTCGTTTGCGTGTTCTTCGTCGAATCGTTCAGATCGGACTTGGTCATCGCCGAGGGGGTCGCGCCCGCCAATTCGGTCTTCGGTTTCGTGTACGTGTTGTTGTCGTTGCCGGTGATGGAGTCCGGCGAGAAGGTTTCGCACGCCTCGGACTTGCTGTCGTGTATGATGTAGGTGGTGCAGTGGCTCAGTTCCTTCTCGTCGTGCGTCAGCGTGTCGGTGCTCTCGCTCTTCTCGCCCCCGGCCGGCTCGAGGTCCGGCTCGAGGTCCATAAGGACGTCGGGCTCCAGCGCCAGGTCGTCGAAGTTCTCCTCGACGTTGTACAGCGTGTCGTTCGAGCACCACGAGTCGATGCTGGTCGCCTTCGACAGGCACTGGGTCTCCGAGGGCTTCGAGGATTTCGCGTCGGTGGGTAAAGTGGGCTTGGAGAGCGTCGAGCAACCGGCCACGTTGTCGGAGTTGTCGGGCGCCGAAGTGTCGGTCGTCGGGCTGAGGAGGTACGGCGACACTTGAGACAGCCGCTCGCAGTTCGACAGCTTCTCCTCTTCCCTTTCGTTCTTGTTGTACGTTCTGTCGTCGATCGGCGAAAGCGTTTGGTCATGCAGCTTTCTCAATGGGCTGCCGTTTAGGCTGTCGACGCTCATGGTGATTCTGAGAACAACGAAAGGTGTGCATGTTGCAATTAAAGTACTGTAAAAAAGAAAAGCTATTTATTCGACATGACAATAATGAAAGAATCAAAAATAACTACAGTAAACAAAAAGCGGATTGTGTCATGTCAAACCAGGTCCCAATTTCAGCAATTTGTTGTAGAACTTAAGTACTGCAAAGCTGGTTTACAAACGCTACTGCATAATCATTACCACGTTTAACATTACACAATACCAATTATTAAAATGTTAGTATTGCATTCTTAAAAAATCCTATGAATGTGGGGCGAGACCAATTGAAAAACGATTTATTTGATGCAAAACAAAACTAGAAGCTGTGGCGTGATGTGTTTCCTTTCAACAGGAGATAAATGACTTAGAGAAGCAATATTTAATAATAGAAGTCATAATGCTTGTCTCACTCTTTGCTGCTGCCGACGTCCTTGTGCACGGTGTAGGTGCGGTCGGGGGAGGCCTCCCTAGACTGGACGGTGTACGTGGAGCGGTCGGGGGCGGCGCTCTGCTGACCCGTGGGCAGGTCGGTCACCTCGTCGGCCGAGTTGTTGCACGGCTCCGGGTAGCTCTCCGATGAGTCGGTGCGCGTCGACGCGTTCCCTGTGAGGCGAATAGGCTGTTTAAACACGTTGCTCGTGTTTCATCTTATTGCCCACATTTTGTATGAGTTTTTTTTTATGTTGAAAAATTAGTAAACGAGCGTCACACCTGATGTTGAGTGTTTACCGTGGACATCTGGAACGCCTGACGCGTTACTGATTCTTTGCGAGCAATAAAATAGTGGGCGCCGGTTGTAGGAGTTTTGTTTATTCCGTTTTAGACTGGCCACGCTACGCTACGTAAATCAAGTATACCTTTAAAGTGAATCAGACACCAAAAGTCCTAGGAACACTCATAATAACTGATCTAAATCATATTTTGAATAGTCAGTCTCACACGAGTCTATCGAACACATCAGTTAAAAACATTTTGTCGGAAACAAGTCGAATAAAAAAGATCAATTCGACGATCCCGTTTGCGTTACACGCACTGTGGATTGTTCTATTTCCAAGTGTACTGTTTATTATTAAATGAAAGCTTTAATTAATAAACACACTAATATTCAAACTTTTTGCGTGGTGAGACATGCGCTTAACGTTCACGCACGCAAACCAACGCACTCGCGCACGCACACCAACGTACTCGCGCACGCACACCAACGCACTCGCGCACGCACACAGAGTCGCGCGTACGTACACTGGGCGTCGTTCTCGTAGGCGGAGAGCTGCTGGCCGGTCTCCTCGGCGATGGGGCTGAGGGCGCCGGGGTAGTTCAGCACCACCTCGGGCGGCGGCGGCAGCTCCGTGCCCCACTCGGCCTCGGCCGCCGGCTCTATCGCCGCCACCTGTCAACAGATCACGTTGAGATCAATGCTTTTAACTGTGGTAGGGCTTCTGTTGCAAGAATATAGAAGCATTACACTTTTTACAAAAAAAAAATACAAAAAAAAGCATACCTACGGAGTTTCATTCGCCTTTCTCTTCTCCGTTAGACCATCATTAAGCAAAACGGTGGTAGATTTAAAAAAATGAATATCGATAGATGAAATGTTGAATAAATGATTTAGATTTATGAGTACAACCGGTTCGGTAAAGAAAGCACTGACCTGAGATGAACCGGCGAAAGAATCTTAAAAACGCACGAATGGGTAGGATCGTAGTACAATGTGGCCTAACGGTACATGTTCGGTAGCCTTTTCATATAACTCGGCATAGTTGATTCTCAGCCGTAAAATTTATATATATATACAAAGGCATCATTCATTGAAGTCCAGTTAGTACTTTTGAAGATGAAAAGGTTAGTTTGTTTTGTTTGTTGTCATTAAAAATAATGGGCCGAGTCAAAAAGAAAATTTATTTATCTTTTCATCCAAGAGCACTGAAAGTGGTTCCCAGAATGTTGAACAGACTTGGAAAAAGTTGAAACCTAAAATTTCCCCCGTTTTAAAAAATTTACTTATCTACCCTGTTATGAGCCAAGGCAAAAATATAATAACATTTTTTCTATCTGACTCACCTGTGCTAACGGCAGCTTCAGCTCCAACTCGTTCCTTAGAGCCTTCACGCACTCCTCGTCGAGAGCGAGGTCCCCGCTCAGGTCTTCCAGGGTCCTCCCACTGCCCGCCAAATAGGACTCCGGTATCGCGTCGCTGTCTCGCGTCCGCCCATCTTCGCTCGCGAAGCCCTCGACGGCCAACGGGCCGGCGTATTCTATGTTCAGGTTGTTCTCGTTCTCGGCCATCGCAAGCTTCGTGGTGATCTGCAGCTCGATTTGGTTCAGATCTATCTCCTTCTGCAGGGGGCCGGACTCCGCTTGGGGCGGCGGCGAGCCGTTGAGGGGGGAACGAGTGGGGGGCGCGGCGGGCGACGGTTGGTCGAGATCGATGTCGACCAAGTACTTCTGCTGCGAAGTGGAGGCTAGGAAGACGCCCGGCGAGTTGGGCGGCGTTAGAGGCGACACGCGCTTCTCCGTGTTGGACCTGTCGTAGGTGTTGTCGGTGTTGTCGGTGTGCGCGTCACCGCTGTCGGGCTTCGAGTCGACGGCGGTGAACACGTCGTCGAACTGCATCTCGATGTCGGGCACCTCGTTCAGGAAGTTGCCGTCGCGCAACGGCGACGGCGTCTCGAGGTTCATCTCGCTGAAGTTCGACGAGAAGGCGAGCAGCTCCTCCCTCGGCAGGTCGACGACTTCCGACTTCACCGCCTTGAACAGCTCCAGCGAGCAGTTCTCGAACGGTCCCAGCACCACGGAGCTGTTCTCCTCGTACGTGTCCGTGTGGTGGCTCTTCGTGGGCGATTCCGGCGGGCTCAGGTTGTCCGGGACGCACTTTTGCTCCAGCTTTGTTAGCGTCACGCCCGCGTCGCTCGCGGGGACTTTGGTGTTCGATAGTAAATCGTACTCGTTCTGGATCGCGGAGGTTTCTAGAGTGTTCTCGATGGAACTGTCGCTGCCCTTAGGCGTGCTAGCGCAAACATCTTGGAAATCGGCCGTCTGATTGTTGAAAACTCGCTCCGATTGGAGAAAACTGTCCGTTTCTTTTATAACGCTAGGCAGATCTAAATATACAGTGGACTCGCTCTTGAGCAGAGCGTCCACATCACAAGTATCGTTACCCCCTTCGGTTGATTCGAAGTAAGATACATTCAATACATTAGTCTTATAGTTCTCGTTATTTGTATCATTAATGAGATCCATATACATAGTGGAGTCGCCTGTGGATACTTGTGTCACATCTTCGACTGTTTTTTCATCATTATCAGATCTGTGTTTTGTAATATCAATAGTTTCATTAAAGTCATTTACTACATTTTCCCCCTGCGCATCATCATGGTCAAGCAAAATTTCTCTATTATTTTGTACTGTTCCAGGTGAGATAGTCTGTTCGGTTGAAACATTTTCATATTTTAACTCTTCAATTTGATCTAAGCTTTCAGGGGTAATGATATCATTATTTGTGTTAGTGCTATGAACTAAATTTTGTACTGTTACAGGTGGCTCTTTTGTATCATGTGATGTATGTAAACTTTCAGATTCTTGAATTTCTTCTATGCCGACATTTTCACATTTCACACTATAATCAACAGTTGATAAAGGTGTGCCTACGGTAACATCATCTTTTATGTCCTTTCCGCCTGAAAAATCAAAGTTCTCAATTCCATTACTTATACATTCCACACTATTTTCTTTTCTCTCCTTACAAATATTATTAGTGACTAGATACATAATATTGTCTTTATCTGATATAGTAGCTAATTCTGGTTCCGATTCTGGCAAGATTTGTTCATCGATTTTTTCCTTTTCCATCTCACTGTCTATATCCAGTTTCGATCCCATTTCGCTGATTATTGCTAAAGTCTCAGAATCGGTGTTTGATATTTCCTCACTTTCGACAAACGTTGCAATATCATCTACTGACTTAGTTCCAACGTCATTAATATCAATTCTTACATCAGTTAACTTATTATCACATGGTGTATGACAGTCTTCTCTCACATTCAGTTGTTGAATAAGAGTTTCACTTAAACTAGACATTGAGGCTACACATAATTCCTTTAACATGGGTATGTTACTTAAACTATCATATACTTTATTATCTTTTGGCAATTCACTATGTTCTTCTGTGTCACACAGAACAAAATCTCGCTTTGTATTGTTCGCGTCCACAGTTTCGGGGTGATATTCAATTCTCGTAACAATATCTAAATCTTTGATTGGCGTTTCGGGCGTTAAGTTTTCGAGGGTATGTTGACTAATCGAGTCGCTGTGGCGTTCAAACGAGTGGCTCAACGTGCCGATGGTATCTCGATCTACGTCATCGTCCACGTAAGCCTCGCTTTGCTGGGCGTCCGAATCGAAGCCCACCTCCAGAATATTCTGGAAGTTGCTAATACCGGGCGACTTGACCATGCTTTTCTGTACCGGACACTCCTTCTTGCACTCCAGGCTTAGATTATCCCTCGAGGGGCTCGCCTGGTGGCTGGACTCGGAGCTCGACGTCTTCTCCGAGTTCAATATATTGTCGAGGTTCTTAATGACGTCGCTCACGTCCTTGAAGTAGCTCACGTCGTCTTGGCTGCCGGCGATTATGTCCCTCAGCCAGGGGTCCATCGAGCTGTCCGAGCGATCTTGGTCCTTGTCCTTGCAGTCGTCAAGGCCCACATTCCCTTGGTGGCACTCGATCGCGGCGGTCTCGTTGTGCGTGAGATAGATGTTCCTCACGTCCTCCAGCGAGCCGTGGAGATTGGTCAGGCTGTCGGACTTGATTTGTACGGCTAGCGGGTCCCTGTCGGACATTATGCTGCTGGAGCGGGAGACGGCCGTGTCCAAATCCACGCTGAGCGTGTCCTGTGTCGTCGGCGCGTTGTCCAGGTCCTGGTCGGAGCCGGTGAAGTGGGAGGAGACGGAGGTGGAGGGGGCGTGTACTATGGCGACGTGCTCGTCTATCTTCGGTATCGTGTTGGGCTTGAGCCGTTGCCATCGCCCCTCGAAGTCGCTGCTCCCGTATCCGTCGTCTTGGGCGCTCTCGCTGTGCACGTGGCTGCTGTGCAGGTGGTTGAGGAGCGCGTGCACCTGCTGCGCGGAAGGCCGACCGTCCGGGTTTGGGTTCCAGCACAGCTGCATCACTTGGTATCTGAGGATCGAGGAACATTTATTTAGCCTCCATATGGTTAGGTTCGGTTCCATTGTAACTTTGCTATTTGAAGGCGATTCTAATATATTAAACTTCTGAGTGTGATATATAAAATTTCTGTACTTCAGAGGTAAACAGCATTATAACACAAATTTTACAGGAGAGGCAAAAATGCGTGAGTTAATCCTTGAATGCATTATGGATTATGTCATATACCATTGGATATTTTATTAATTAAGCGTCGTAGGACTTAATGCTATATACTATTCTGTAGAACTTTTTGTAGCGATTTTAATGGTGTAAAAAAATATTTTGAAAAATGTGGAGTTACTATTGGAGGTACAGATTTGTTTTTAAAATCAGCTACAATAACTATACTGCAATAGGACTCGAAACAACAATATCTTATCAATCATCGCGAACTCCACTTTTCGACTTATTTGTTTTGTAAACGCTGGATGTATAAAAAATAAACATTAAAATTGTAAATAGCTTAGCAAAGCATAATATAAATTTGTTGACTTTCTTACAAGAAAATTTAAATGAAGAATAATATTTATTTATTAACCTGTTTATTGGAATTTGGCGTAGATCAGAGTAAAAATAAATAATAAAATAATTGACGGTAGCTCGAATAAACGCTGGCATTAGGACGAGAAATAACTGAGTCTGTCTTGTCACCATGAACGCTGGAAAGGGTGCAAAATGTCGGAAAGAAAAAATTTAAAAAATGATTAAAACAAAAACAACAGAAACTGTAACTATACTAACAGGTGTGTTCTGTATGGGCAAGGGAGATCGGGCAGAGGCGGCGGCGGTGTCGGTGGCGGCGCGCCCCATGCACAAATCTCCCAAATCAAGGTACCCAGAGACCATACTTCACTGTTAGTCTGGAAAAAAAATACAGATTAAGTATCCTCTTAAATAAATATTAAAGTTTTTTATAGTGCTAATCTCTGCACTTAAGATTGAACATTAAAACATGTAGAAAAAGTACGAAAAGATCGTCGCCGCTGTGGGAATCGAACTCACGTCTTCGGCATTCGCGGCCTGACGCTCTGAACAAATACTGCGTGTGTTTCGATTATTGTACTTTAGATATCCTGATATACTACATTTTCTACAGCAGCGGGCGAGAGTAAGGAGTGTATCGATCGTGTATCGATCGTGTATCGTTCCGCTGACCGTGCGAGCGGCGGGGCGGCGCCTCGCCTCCGGCGCGCGGCACTCGTGCTGGGGCTCCGGCGCGCAGTAGCGGCCGAGCACGGCGCGCGCAGTCTCCGCGCCGCCCCGCACCAGCACGCCGCCGCTCCAGAGGGCGCTGCGGAGCAGTACCCTCGTGTACATTCAACTGGACCATTTAATGTCTTGTGTACAGGGAGATATTTTGAGAAGTGACCAAATTTAACAACACAGGAGGTTGAGAATCGTTGAAAGTATTTTTTTTCAATGCGGTAGTCATTCATAAATACATAAATTTTACTGTGCAGGAACTTGTGTGCGTGTTAGTTATGAATGATCGCGCGTAAAATAAATGAGTTGCGTATAAATCATGTACTTTTTGAGATAAGATCAAATGAATGTAATTAATTACTTACGAGTGATTTTAAATATTTATCATTTTATATAACATTATTTATGTCTAGAATTTAATAAAAAAAATGGATACACTTAGAAAAACCACCCTGTATAAGAAGGGTTAATTTAGACTACGATTACCGCGATAGCTCACACTGTTCATTTAATAATTTTGAATGTCTTGTGTATACGAGTTAATTTAGACTACAGTGGCCGCACTATCCGGGTGAGTTCGAACCCCGGTGCCGCCGGCGCTAATGGAATTGTTAATTTTTTTTAAGTGTTGATTTATCACGTGCTCAGATGTGTAGTTGCGTAGTATACCGACCACAGTAGGATTTACAAGAGCACTTGAATAGGTCCGTTGCGTGCAGCAAAGTTCTGTAGCAGTTTCCCAAAGGGTACGATTTTTTTTTCATGTGAGAACATACGACATTTGCAACATCCATACCCAACAATATAGCGTTACCACCTTTTAAAAAAATGTGCCTCGGCTACCTCGGTGTCTGATGAGTACACTTCCACTTCACGCGGGTCTTCTGTGAGGTCGTGGTCCTCACCCGGACGGACCTTCGTCCAACATTCGCCCATTCGTGCGACAGCCGAAGCTGTTGCGTGGCCCCACCCACATCGATTAACCATAAAATTGACCACTCACCCGTACAAGTGACCGCGCGCGTGTAAGTACGCCAATGCGGACGTGACGTCACACATCAGCTGCAGAGGCACGCCGCTCTCGTTGAGCGTCGCCATCTTGGGCCGATTCACTATCAGGTACTGCTGCAAATCCTGCCGGACGCACAAAGCACGAGTTTAGAGAACTTTCTGGCGTATTTCTCTAATATACCTGTAAATTTTTTTTTTATGTGAAAAATTCCCAAGCGAGCAGACGGTTCACCTGATGTTAAGTGAATACCACGGCCCATGGACATCTGCTATAGCCGAGGGTCCCAGATGCGTCGACAACCTTTTGAAATTTTTTATTTATTTAAAAAGTTTTTGCTCTTTAGGAAGCATCGGCGGATTTAACATTATTAGTTGTTCTCTGCCAGTCGTCGGACAAATAAATAGAGAAAATAAGGAGGTGCGAAAGAGCCAATTGTTGTGGCCTGCATTCTAAGGGGAAGGCCTTTCATCAAAAGTGGACGTTTTAAAGCTGATTATGATTACGTCGAAGAGAGAAAGTTATTCAAATACAATATATGTAGATTTTTAATTGATAAATTTCGTTTCGTTATGTTTCATCTTAAGTACAGAGACTACTAAGAAATAAAACTTATTATAAACGTTCAAGCTACATTTTAATGAAGTGGTATATCCCAGATCTATGTATAAGATGTTACTTTCAGGTCTCAGCACTAAATCTCTTCGTATAAAAGGCGATCTTATAAAAATATCATCGCGTCCTGCAATAGGTGTGGTCGGCACAACATACGAATCATGTTGTAAGCGGTTTGGGCTATGATTTTTACAACTGGCTGCCTGCCCGACGTCAACCCTCCTTGGGAAACAAACACCCAGATCCGGAGAAAATATTTATAGGTCACACAAATACTTGTCCCGTGTGAGAATCGAACCCACGAACCGCAACAACGAAGCCAATATCTTAGCAACGGCGCCATCGAGTCCTCAGAAATCGATAAACACGCGATAGATAATTTCACTAACATCGCTCAAACGAAACGAAATCAAGGTATGGAATAAGAAGAAGTATGAAGAAACGTATACACCTTCATTCATACGCCGCTCCACGGTTGTTTCGTTAAAAACTCGATTCACAGACTGTTCCATTGACGAACGCGATCCTCATTAGGTATACCGCTCACGTGCGGCCAGTTCCGCGAATGGGCGCGTGTCACCTGACCTTATCGATTGTACTGAGCGTTGATCTCTGGTCGTAACGTTACGTTAAAGCAAAACGGTGTGCCTTAATTATAATTAATGATACAAGAAAATGATTAAATGTATGAATTTGAGGGAGTCACTCAACATTAAGGCCTATTATTTTGTATGGAAATGACTCTTTTTCTGTTTATAATGATAGATTTTTCATTAAAAAAATATTTATATCTGACTTTATTTCCTCGCCATTTCGTTTTGCTTTTAACGAGTTTAAGTTTTGCTTATTAAACAGTTTTAATAAAAATACGTGTAATAATTGTTGGTCAAATAAAAATTTGCAAATATTGTTCAAAGAGAACATTCAGAATAAAATTTATGTAGCTAAAGAAATATCTATGCTCAGTATTTCGCTAAGGGATAAAATAAACCATCCGGCAGAGGGCCAAAGTCACGAATATAATCTAGAAGTGAAGCAAGTTGAAGTGGCAGTGAGCTGGCCGCGTCTGTCGTAGAACCGATGAGTGTTGGAGTAGACGGGCGGGTAGGGAAACCACGTCTCGGTAAATGTAGTGTGGGATGTATCCTTGTTAGGGGACTGATGATCTGAGAATGGTCGCTGGTAGTGGCTGGATGATGAAAGCGGTAGATTGAACACTTTGAGGAGGTCTTTGCCCAGCAGTGGGCTACAATAGCCTGATTGAGATCGAGGGATTGAGATGTAGTTTGTTTTGAGCAAATATCATACCCATATACACCTAGCCCACGCTTCCCGATATCTCACCGGTAGACAAATCCAACGTCCATTATGTATATAAATTAAAGAGATATTTGATACCTATTCGTATTTGCTCCGTTATTATTTATCTCTCTTGAGATAAACAATGGAAAAACGATCTGTTTGGAACTGAAGCAAGTTTACGTGAGCCGCGCTTTTGACGTCGCGCTGAGCAATTCACGGGGTAATTTATCGGTTATCCGTTCCGGGAATACATAAGTCTCTCGATCGATTTGCGGGCGAAGCCAATATATTCGTTCTGACTCGCGAAATAACCGTTTTTGCGGTCATCGGGTCGCCGTCTAATTATACAGGAAGAACCACGTGTTTCGCATCGAATACTAATCGAGTATTGCGTATTTTTTTAAGAGCCGTGATAGCTCAGTGTCCGGACGCTCGCCTTTAATTCAATATATTCAAGCAACCTGAGTTCGATCTCCGGTGCCGGCACCAATGAAGTTTTTAAGTGCTGACTTATCACGTGCTCCGCGGTGAAGGAAAACATCGTGAGGAAACCTGCATATTTTCGAAATAATACCAAAAAAAAATATATTTCCGCAGTGAGGCCGCGTGGTGGCCTATGCCCTGATACCCTCTGTATAGAGGAGGCCTTTGCCCAGCAGTGGGACATGTATAGGCTGTTACTTTACTTTACTATTGCGTTTTTTAGACAATTTCAAAATCTATACAATGAAACGATCAACTGAACATTGGACGACTAGAGACACGTGTTCGTTATATTTGATGGCAATTGAAAAAGGCATAAAACATTCGGATTACGTTCTAAACCCAATTTAGTTGCTTTTGATTTTGTTTGTTACTCCAAAGCTTTTGAAAACAGGTTTTATAATAAAAGTGCAGTATTTGTCGAAAACGATTGAAACCCCATCATCGACATTAAGTCTCATTCGACTTTAAAGTTTTATTTATATATAAACATTTTGCTTCAGTATGTAGGTGTTCACAAAACACAAAAGCTTTGAGCTTTGCTCACAAAATCGCTATCAGGAAAAGGTTTTTATATAGTCTTCGTATATGTTTTCACCGAACGTTAGGAACGGTGTGAACTATCCTTTTGCTCACAACATCGCTATCAGGAGAGGGTTTTTATATAGCCTTAATATAGGTTTTCACTGAACGTTAGCACTGGTGTGAAATGTGTGTTGTAAAGTGTTATGAAGTTTTTTTATTATTAAACTTCGTGAATTTAACGCTGAGTGGAAACCTTTTTGGTGCACTAACAAGCATAAAATTATTTTTTCGCTTTGCAACTAAATTACTGTGTTTATGTCTTTTGTGTTTTTTTTTCGTTTATGTACCAAATAAATATTTTTCTTTCTTTCTAAATGTCTTAAAGGCCATTGAATTCTCACCATCGGGCACAGCTCGAAGAGCAGCATCCAGGGGTCCTCCTGGAGACACTTGGCGACGAACGCGAGGATGTTCTCGTGCCTCGAGTCCCTGTACACCCTGGCCTCGTCCAGGAACCGCGCCTTGTCCTCAAGACTCGCGTTCTGGTTGAGGATCTTCACCGCCACCGTCGGGTTGGCGCCGACGTCCAGTTCTCCCTCGACCACCTGCGCGATGGTTGGACGGTCAAATCGAATCGTTCATTCATCGAAGTGAGAAATTATAAAAAATTAAAAAAAAACGTTGAAGTAAAAATTAGAAAAAATAATAAATTCGTAGGCGTCAGCTGAAAATCAGCGCTACCTTAACCGTAGCCTTATGCTGAGCTGACTACCTTTTGGTCGTCGCATACACTAACTTTGTATTTATTGTCATTATTCAATATTAGGAAAATTATTAATTGTATTTATATGGAAATTAGTTATTTTGTTCCTTTTTTTTATTTTTGTAAAAGGTATTTGTGTACGATCAATAACGATTTTTCTATTCTATTCTATTCTACAAATGAACATGTATAGACGACATATATTCATTTGATAGTCATTTTTTAAGTCCACCACAGTTTCGTAATGAGGTTCCTCTAACGGAGGAGAAACAGGCGAAAGAAACTCCGTAGTGTTTTTTGTATTTTTTTTCATCAAAATATTATACAGTACATATTTTTATTTAGAAACAGAACAGAAACTGTCACCAAAGTCAACACGGCTCGACTTTTTAAGGACTTACCTAGGTAGTAAGATAGTTTGTTTTTTCTCGTACCTCTTAAAAATAAGAATGACGTTAGGAGAACAACGCGGAGTAAGTTGGAGAGATTTAGACAGAGTTGAAAAGTAGTTTTTAATGAGCCTTTTCAAAATCAATATTTTCGTTGAGAAGCCGAGCGAATTAATTCAGTCATCTCTTCTTGTTTATGATTGTTTAATCTCATACCTTCTCGCCGTCCAAATTGGTAGGTTTATATTTCTATTGAGTAACCCCTTCCCTCATTTCCCTTTCAGAATGGAACCACCACATGAGACCAGGTTCTAACACATACGTACGATACGTAAATAAAAACATAAGTATTACACGCGAGCCGAAACACATATTACAAAAAAGTATAAAACGTGTACATAATAGAACTAATGAGGTAACAAAATTATTAGTTGGAAGATGATTCAAACTTACTGCGCGTTTTTATGCGTATCTTTAAAAACAATGTTACAAGGTTATATGGGACATTATAAACGATAATAAAATTAATATTTAAAAACGTAACTTTTAATACAAAAGCGTTTCCTGTCTGACGAGTTAATCGTTGCGTACTGTGATAATTTTCTGGACGGTAATTAATGTGTAGCACTTGCGTCGAAAGGTATAATCTTTGGAATTGAAGAAAAATAGAGTTTCTCGGATTTCGCTGAAGTTAACTGACCAGCTTGTCGCCTGTCACGTGTGCCAATAACAAGCTTACCCTTCCAAACCATCCCCTTCCGATTTCGCGTAGATATTGGAGTCGATTCCTTGGCAAGTCTTCCCCGCCTGGAAGGGAGAAAACATTATTAAGTTATGAGAGTAACGAAAGTGTCGATGTCCCTATCCCGTTTGTCCCACTGACTTAGATACCGCCGCTACTATGTCTTACATGGAAGTCCTTAAATAGTCTTTGGATGAGGGTCGGCCAAAGTAAAGGGAATCTATACATTTTCGGACCGTTTCAGTTTAGAGTGCAAATGTGGTGCTGTTCCCTAAAACATGGAATATTTAATGTCCTGGCCCGACTACCCAACTATACGCAGGAGGATCTGAGAAGATCACAATAGGTTTTGCTATCGACACGAAAAGAAGAAGACTCTCCATTGAAGTTCATTTTAGATTAATACAGGTTAAATTGTGGGGCTAAGGTGTTGCACGTGTTCCTCCAATCGATTACAGTTACAGGAAAATATCGTGGTTAAGAAACATCAGGGAGTGGAGAGGGATTGTGTGTGCCGCTGAACTTTTTCGCGTAGCCAAGGATAGAGACGAGTACGGAAAGCTGATCGCCAACCTTCTTTCTTTGAAGAGGCAACGAGAGAAGAAGAAGAAAGAAGTTAAAAAAAAGAAGAACTTCACACAATATTATATTACCATTCGGTGACTGGTCACGGTGCTGTGCGAGATTTTCGTACGGCTCAACTAGTATATGCTATGCTTATTTATATTTCAGTTGCCGCGATTATAGAATTGAACTCTAGATCACCGAGCGGGCAATCTGTCCATATCCACTAGGGCACGCGGTCGTCAACCCACGCTATTGAATAAACAATGGCTTGACCGATACGGGACGTATAAATAAGCTATAATGGGACGTACTATAGAGTACTGTACTGTACCGTTGCGATGCCGTCGTTTTGTAACCACAATGAATGGCACGTAGAAAATTACATACTATTTATTTAGTGATGTACAAGTGTGTACCGAGAATATTTATAGAAATACTATGTGCAAGGTTTGTTAACTGTAGATTCTTTTTATTACTGTTTTTATTTTCTTGAGAGAAGGCTTCAACGAGGACGTTCACCTCGACGTAGGGTGATTAGTGATGGATATCTACATCTATGGTCGGCAGTATTTCGTATGGTACGTTCACACGAAATACCACCAAAGGTTAGTCTCGTCCGGAGAAATATTACGGCCTCACGGGGGACCGGCGCGAAGTGGAAGAACTTATTACATTCGCGTTTGGTCTTCCGAGGGACGTAGCCGGAGTCCAATCTTTCGATGGTCGGCAACGCATCTACAATCAGTCAGGTGTCACATGATGCACAATAGTGATGTGAAACGGGCATCGATACCGACCGAACCAGTCGGCGCATCTCTCGAGCGGGTCGGCGACTCGCAGCCCCAGCGGCAGCGGCTCGAACTCGACGACCGACTCGCGGCTCATGCGGTTCCGCTCCTCGTTCTCGCTGACGATGTACGCGGCCGCGTTGTTGTTCTCGATGTTCTGCATCTCGCGCATCGATATCGGCCCGTTGTTGTTGTCCTCGCCGACGTTGTTGTTGGCCGGCTCCGCGAAGCCCGAGTCGGGCTGGGGGCGCCGCGCATCGTGCAGGTGGCCCGCGCCCGCCGCGAACAGCTGTCGGGAGGAAGGGGCTACATTCAGTGCGGGGCGACTTTAACAAGTCCAGGGTGAATATGACAACGCAGTCATATTGCGCCGGTTGAGTGAGAGCCCACCTTAATGTTTGAGATTAATAAAGTATGGCGCGAATGCTGAAACGGTTAAGCGTGGGCCCACCTTAACAGGTTTAGATGAATTTTGCGCGAATTGTTGTTAAAGCACTGTCGCGTTTAATTATAGACTTACCTAAACGTCCTTTATTCCTAAACGGCACCTCGCGTGGCCTTTCATAATCGCGTATTTGGTATATTTGACAATCAGTCACAAATTAGGTAGGTTGCGGTGTTTTTTTCTATGTTTTAAAAGTTTAGCATAAGTTAAACAGATACCGCGCGCTTCGTCGGTTCCACTAATCTGTCTGAAATGGACCAAATAGGTACGCAGTGATAATTAAAGAGAAACACAGAGGTTGCCAATTTAGTCGGTCGCATTTGCCTTTTTGCTGTACTCGAATGTTTGTGTGTATGTCAAACATTTGGTCAAGTGTAACGAATACCTAAAAGCGATTATGAATAGCCACTCCATCGGTATAAGTTATTTATAAAAAATTATAAAATAAATAAAAGGCAACACAAAAACAAATCTGCTGGTTATTCTATGAATGCAACGAATGACTGGGTTGATGTATTAAATAGGATCCTAAAAGAATATGACGCGATTTAGCGCTTAGTTGAATCGGACGAGAAATGGTGCCTGTTCTATTAATTAAGTCATGTTATGCCTATCACGTCAAAATCTATGTTTAAAGGGTAACTAAAATTAAAATTTCAATATATACGCTCAATTTCTGAAACACTGATCGTAGTTCTGCTGTCAAATGGCTTTTCACATGTTATTTGAATTGCCAAAAGGATGAACCCTCTGAATTGACCAGAATGATCCTTAATGATCAGAATGATAAATTCAAAGTGTTCAACAATCCTTTTGGTAACTTAAATGAATTTTGAAAATCCATTTGACAGCTGATTAGTTGACATCTACGATGATCAGTGTTACAGAAACCAGGCGTAAGAGTGGTCATGTGTAAAAAAATTAAAAGTAACTCAAAACAATAATAGTTTGTCGCAATAGTTCAGCAGACGGTAGTTTGATTTACTGCAACAGTGGATAAAATAACTAATATGAAACATGTAAGTGAATATAAAAATGATTGCTGTGTAGAACTACAAAGATATAATAAGACATGATATAGGTACAATAATAAGTATTGTCAAACTACGAAAATGCGTGAAGACGTTTAAACTAAGATATTAATCGGGAAAGCGTCATATCATAATATATGTTCATCTAAATCGCTAGCATTAAGAGTTCTAAATTCTAATTTTATACCATTGCTTACATTACGAAATTAATAAAAACATGTATAAAATATTCAAAAAGCGGAGACCATCAATGCTTTGCTAAAAACAAAATGTTTAAGTACACAAAATAAATAAAGAATCGATTTTGATGTTAGGAAAATACTTTTAGGCAAAAAAACTTAAAGCGGAAAGAAAAGAGAGAACTTTAATGATTTGGGCACTTTAGCGACGCTGATGAAGAGAGTTAGAGATGGAGACTGAAGAAAAGTCTGCGGGAAACTAACAGAAAAACCGGTGATTTGCCCAAGGGTCAAGGAAAATGGAATGGAATACGGAAATGACTAATAATATATAAACCAATACACTGTCAGTTGAATAACATTCTGCAGATTTTAGCCTTTTACTGTATGGCTAAGAAATTGAGAGCTTAGGAAAACAAACACAGACAGTAGAACAGTATCCATTTCAACTTGCATTTCGGAAATTTAAAGCATACGAAAAGAATACTTAAATTTTTGATTATTTTTGAAATCGACGCTGATAGCCGATTAGCTGCGGAGGAGGGGTTACAGGGAAATTCATGATGAAGCCGGTAGGGGTGCGCAAGGATCACGAATAATGATGCCCACCTCTCGGGGTGACAGGTGAGGAGTATAGGGTGATCATGCATCGTCTAATAAAGCCGCACTATCTACCAGATATCGGCACTAAGCATACACAATGGCTGTTTAGCAAGGAAAGCATGCATTCGTCGTCAGCCACAGCGGCAGAGCATTGAATTGGGAAGGGGAAAAGACGTCGAATCGAAGTGGTCGCTACCTGATTGTCCGCTCCTTCGTTCGGCTGGTGACAATAGAAGAATTACATTTGAATTATAATCCATCACGGTTGTAACGTAATACATGGCACGGTGGTGATAGTATCAGACTTCAGAGCCAAGTGCTTCAGATTCAGTTCAGTTCCGAGGCGGAACCATTGTTATTACAAAAGATAGATTACTTTAAATTAGGATCTCAACTATGACTAAAATACTACTGTACTTGTCAAGGACGTATAAGAATTTAATTTTGTTGATTGCTAATTGAAGACTAATATTTGCTGGTACATTTTTAGAATTTATCAGTGACATAACTTTGTAACAATTTTCCTTGCATCAGAAACAATTATTTCTTCTCTCTTTAGTGTATAACCGCACACGTATTAAACAATATGTGAAGCACAAAGATAGCAGTAAAAAACGTATCAAGAAATAGCTTCGCACACGCAAAGCAAATTCTTGATACATCTTTAATTTCGCTATGAAATATTTGCATTGTTGCAATATTAATAATATGTAATAGTACATTTATACATACTACTAGCTGCTGCCCGCGACTACGTCTGCGTAGAGGGGTGAAAATTTAGGGTTGTATGTATTTTAATGCCACATTATAGAAAAGAAGAACAAAAAATTTTTTCCAAAAAAAATGTTAAGGGTGAACAACCCTTATCACTTAGGGGTATAAAAATAGATAGTAGCCGATTCTCAGATCTACTGAATATCCATATAAAATTTGGTAAAAATCAGTAAAGCCGTTTCGGAGGAGTAAGGTAGCTAACATTGTGACCGAGAATTTTATACATAAGAAGATTACATCTTGTATATTATATTAACTGATGTTTTTGCTTTCAGTCCCGAGACTATTAAAGCTTCATCTGACGCCGAACCGTTAGGCTAGCCAGAACCCACGGGTGTGGGAAGATTACATACTACAGAAGCACTTTAGTATGTAATAATATGTAAAAAGTAAAGTAACAGCCTGTAAATGTCGCACTGCTTGGCTAAGGTCTCATCTGTTCATTTCTCATCTCATATTGGAGCATAGTCCATCATGCGACCCCAATAGGATTGGCGTACTTCACATATGTTCGAAATATATTTTTGTCATTATTTAGAAAATATGCAGGTTTCCTCACGATGTTTTCCTCACCGCTGAGCATGTGACGTCAGAACTAAAATTTAAAATTTCATTGGTACCGGCACCAGGGATCGAACTCAAGTAGCTCGTATATTGAATAAATAGCGACCGCCCGGACAGTGAGCAATCACGGCTCATTTAATAATGTAAACTATTAATAGTCGGGCGCCAAACGTTGATTACAATTAGAACTCTTTCGTAAACTCGACACAATAATACCACGGGGCATATTGTACGAGTTTAATCACTGTTGGATAATCGGTCTGTGTCTTCATTATTATTGTCGAATTGCCTGACTACAAGTCATTTATAGACCTCTCCTATGTAGCAAACATCTCTCACCGGTTCATTCCTGGGCGAAAAGTAAATAGGCTCACATTAGCTGCTGTAATTATTTTACTGCAGTATATACTGCAAAAGATAGGCGTATTTATACTTTTGCTTATTGTATGGTGAGTTTTATTGGGTAAACGGAGCCCCCCCTAAAAATTAGGCGATAAGGAAGTCTTGATGGTGTCCATAAGCCGCGATAGTTATAACAATCGATATAAACATCGGGCTTCAAGTACTAGTTTATATGCTAAATTCTGTCATCAAATAAAAATTCCGTATCAAAATGACCAACGCTGCAAAGTACGTCTAAGTAAACGGTAAAAAGTTCAAGTATCGACACTGGCCGAAAGCGATTGCGTAACAAATTGCGCGATTTGGATACAAACGTTAGATACGGCGTAAAAACTGGCATTAAAACGAGATAATAAAAAAAATAGCAACCAGCCAGCCCGTCAGTCGCATGTCAATAAATAGCCTGTGAACGGGGACGCGTTGCAAACGACCGTTCGGTCAAACGTTGTCAGGTTGGCACCGCTAAATGACGTAGTAACGCGCAAGCTATGAACTGATCAATGGACGCCTCATGCATATAATGCCGATACAGCGTTGTTAAATGGAGGATTGGAGTAAGGTCACATAACCTGAAGGTATTTTTAGATCCCCTCAAACGCACCAATAAATCGTTTTTTTATAGGCTTTGGAACTTGCGGTGCTTTTTAAATTCTTTATTTCATCAATTTTGAAATATTTTATTATTCATCGGGGGAGAAAAAAAGACTAAAACAATTTCTTTATGATTTAAGTAACAACAATATTAGGACACTTGTTCAACTTCGATTTACAATTTGTAAATGTATTTGTATATTTATTATTTATCTGTGTATGTGTGGGCAGAATATTTGTTTAGGTCGCGATTAACGCTATCGTCGCTGTGTGGGCCACACGGGCGATTCTGCCGCGTCGACAATAGCCGAGAATTGGCGGGAACGCAGCGCCTGCGAATGGCCAATGTCAACCGAACAATGGTGCCGTAAAGCGCTTTATGGCTCCGTTTGGATCTGCACAATGCGAATGGGCACAATGATGAGATTGCGGAATCGAACAGTATGTGAATGAGCGAAATCGATGTCGTTCTCAATTCAAATTAGCCATAAGGACAAATTTGAATTAGGAAGGAATGTGTTCAGTCCAACTATAATACTGTGCGACTTTATAACAACGCCCTGTCCAATGGGAACTAACAACTACAGCTAACAAATTTTGAACAGGAGTTACCTATTGAAGTTCTAAAAGTATTTTAGAAAATTTACACCATATGAGGACTGAATTGAAAAAAAAATAATGCAAGCTTACAATGCTGCAT